GGACACTTGTCAAATTGCCAAAAACACCAGGCAGCAACGGTAACCCAAGACTTCGGCGGAAACTGCCGGAGTCCGTCCTAACAGTTATAACAGTCCTCTTCACAAACCTCGCGCATCACGCACACGAACAACACACCACGGCCATAGGATTACCACAAAAATGCACACCTAACCCTCGTGCCTAACCCTCAGGCCCGCCCTCCTTGGCAAACCCTTACCAGACCAAATTTGCCTCCGATGCTCCACTGGAACCTCTTCCTCTGCCGGACAGATCCCCTTACCGCCGTCTGCGTCGGTGGATTCCATTGGGGGGTGGAACCTTTCGGAGTCCGCGGGAATCCAAGGAGTGAGGTGGAAGCATGGTATCTCTGTGCCAAAGAGCAAGCTGGTCACTTGGCGTCGCGATCTCCGAATTTTTTTCGGGAGCATCCAATGTTTCAGAACGCTGATTTGATCCAATGGACACGTTCCGGATTTGGTCATTCTGTTGATGTTTGATGCATGTGGGTCAAAACCATGGTCAGCATGCTTACTGGCAATAGTGTTGACTGTACATAGCTGGGGATGCTGGGCAAAGGGTGACATGACAGTATTTGGACTGGCCTTCTTTTCGGGTTCCGATCTCCACAGGGTGACCTGTATGGTCGTGACATATGGATTTTTGATGCTGGAGTCAATACATAACACCACTCCTGGTCGTGTTTTTGGGAGGCTTGGGGCATCCTTGCTTCGCCTTGCTTGCCTGGTGACCCTCCCACCTGGCAAACCAAAGACAACCGTGAACGAACGCGAGCACAGCGGGGCCGACAGACCCACTTTGGGGTGAACGGACCAGTCCCTCTCTCCGTGCAGTTTCCAGAGCGTTTGCCCACTGCGTGGCCCTGTGCTCACACGGAGGTGTGGAGTGGCTGCCACTCGAGGGGATCAAGTGACTCAGCTGTTCGGTCTGTGGATGTGGCAGTTTGGGGGGTCGAGGGTCAGGGCATGCTAAGCCGAAAGATTTCTTCAGTCAAAGATGGTTTTGTTTCACATGATTTCTGAAAGAAGTGTGCATACCTACAATGATCAACAGAAACGATGAATTGGTTGGAAGGGGTTGGAAGGTTTGGAGTGAGAAGTTTAACTTTTTAGTGACTCTTCAGTGTAAACTGTGAATGTATAATTTGTTCAACTCTTTCTCTTTCCACCCCGCAAGCTTTTTGACCAGTGCGACCTTTGTCCTTTGGCGCCTTTTTTAGGAGGCGAAGCCAATCCACAGAGACGGGGCGAGGTGGTCGCTGTCAGGGGCGACAGCGGCCCACGTGGTTTTGGTCATCCTTGGTTGTCGACCAGACAGGTTTGTGGTCCCAGTTGTTCCCTTGGCTCAAACATAAGTATATACCCCATTTCAATCCATTTCACCCAATGGGATTCCATGTGTTCCACCATGAGGTTTGTGGTCCCATTGTTTGTCCTAACATGTCCTTTTCGTTCGGGTGCCAGCATGGCCCGAAAATGCTGGTCAAGGCAGGCAGGACAGGCAGAACCGGCAGGACAGGCAGGAAGAGCAAAAAAGAGGTGCCCACATTGGATCGGACAATTGCATATTGTAAATGTTCATGATTCATCATGCACTAATCCAATGATGTGAACATGGAGCACTATCACTGAAATCATCCTGGTTATATACATGGAGGTCACCACCTGTTTGGTATTGAGAGAATCATGGTCTTCCTTTTGCTAGCTAGTGCATTCTTTCGCGGACATCGAGCTTGATCCGTCCGATGCCACTCACAAGGAACCGCTCCGGGAAGAACTCCATGCTCGGTTGATCTTACCGGTGGCCTTTAGGGCGCCAACGTAGCTTGCTTCAGTGAGTTCACTGCCTGGTCAAGCAGGTGGAGCCAGTGGATCTAAGATCAGTGTTCAGTATTCAGTTTCTGACAAGCTTTCTGAATCCACTGGATTTCAGTCCAGATCCCCAAGGAACTTTCTCTTCATGGATCTGGGTTATGAGGATGAAGCGGAGTTCGAAGATGCCGCCCGGTGGGGATGCAGATGAGAGCATGAAGATGGGCTCCGCATGATGAGGTGTATCTAGGCTCCGGGCCATGGGTGAAGAGTGGCGATTCCTTGTCGAACCTTCATCCGGGTAAACCTTGACCACCTCGAAGCCAGGGCAGCGCCAGGGGGCGGGTGTTTGCTTTTGGGTGTGTGGTGCGTAGAGGGAGCAGATTCGATTGATTGGACCAGGCTTTCCCATGTTTGGATGCAATTGGGTATATTTTTTGATCAATACGGGTGAAATTACGTAGATGATCGTAGATGAGACATGATGAGAAGAGAAATCGGGTCACAGATTGCTTGGGTCACTCATTTCGAGACAGATCCACATTATTCATGTGGGTTGATCAAGATTTCAGATGGACCTGCAGTGAACTGAGGATGCACCGTTGCCACCCAACTCCACCGTTGCTAGCGCCACTATCCGGGGAGCACCAGCTGGATCAACTGACCATCAAATCGGCCCAAATACGGGCCGACTTCCTTACACGAACACGATCATGTGATATTGTGTGATCCAAAAGTGATCTCCCAACCAATTCATCATCCCCAAATAGTCCGCAAGCTTGTTACTCTCCCACTCACATGGATGTGGAATGGCACCCGCTGTTGGGTCTTAACCATGGTCTTCCCAACCCACTATGCCATGTGATCTCCAGGTCCTTCGTGTATCTCCAGGTTCCAACCCTCCAAGCCACGCTCCGCTCCCCGCGCACCGCTCCTAAGGCGATCCACGGCTCCTTCGAGGACTCTCTCGGTTTTTGGGGTCGGAGACCAGGCATTGAGTCTCAGCAGGGTGGAAGGCACGCAGCGCGTGAGTTCGAGAGGTTGAGGGATGAGGGAAGAACTCACCTCCCAGGACCCTGTCGGGGTGTCTATTTATCCCTTAGCTGTGATTCGGGGTGTCCATTCACCACACATGGGGTGTCCTGGTCTGTTTTTCGACTCCGTTCTCGCTGCTGGGTACATCCATCTCTTCAGGCCGACGCACGGCCGGCTAAGCCACTGGTGACGTGGAAGCGATTTCGGACGGGACGCGACACGGAGAACACGGTCGCAGAACGTGACCCAACAGTGCTTTTGTTCTTGAAGAACAGGATGCTCCTGTGAGCATTTGGTGAGTGTTGAAGACACTTTTTGGAGGGTTCTCATGAAGTGGAGGGTTTGGCCTCAAGACATATGGAACGAGGCAAGACGGGCAAGACGGGCAAGACATGTGTACAAGCGCCGCGATTCGGGTGAAGAAGGATGAAATTCATCGGCAAGCATTCCAAGAATTCATGGAACCAGTTGGGTTTGTGGTTTGAAACAGGTCTCTGGTAGGTGTCGCTGATGGATTGACAGGCAGGACAGGACAGGCAGACTCTTGTGTTTTTTCCACGTAGGAGTTCCTTGCAGCCTTTCCACACATGGAGGTCAAAGACATGGAGGCGACTCCCTACGTACTCCGACTTTGGTGTTTTGGAAGGGAGGACACCTTTGCGGGGGACCGCGGTGGAAGGGTGACCGTGGCTGGAGCAGAAGAAGACAGAAGACCATCTGGAGAGTTTTTTGATGGGTGTGGGAACATTGGATCTTTTGAAAGGAGGCTTACAGGGCGTGGATCCGGAATATTCAGGGCCATGATGTTCGTTAAGCAAGCGCGCTTGCTTCAGGGTTTCGGGTTCGGAGCAGGCGGGGCCTGGTGTGATACATCCCGTTGCCTGGTGGGTTTCGGAAGAAGCTCTTCCTCAGAACCATATTTATATCACAAGAAAGCAACTCCCACCTTCCCTTGACCAACATCCACACCCAACTGCCACTCACTCCCAGACCCAGCTTTCCCCTCTGCCCTTCCCCCCTAGAACCCGTGCGGGCAGCCCCCCCGCATGCCCCACACGCACCCGGAATGGCAGGGGAAGCCGCAATTGCGGATCTCGCTGCCCGACACTCCGCCGCGGCCACGGAAGTTGACGCTGACGGTGAATTCCTCGCAGCAGCTGTTGGCAGCTTGACTGTTTTTTCGGACACGGAGAGGTGTGGAGACGGTGGATGCGATGTGGGGTGGTGTGTGGAGTGGGGGAAAATGTGATGTTCTGTTGGGGTGTTCTCAGAGTTGATTGATACGACGTAAGTTTCTGGGCGTTTTTAGGGAGCCAAGAGAGCCAAGAGCTTGGAGGTTGACTGAGGAGGTGGCTGGACGAAATGGGTTACTGTATTGGAGAATCAAGTCACATGGCACCCTGGAAGATTCCTGCCAGGTTCCTGCCACTGACTCATGAAACTACCACAGTTCACAGTAGCGCAAAATTCATCGTCCATATCCTGGAATTAAATCCTCCACTTCAACACTACTCGATCAGTACCGTTTCTATTTTAACCTTCCACATATTGCTACATTTGCTGGGCATTTGCTGTATCTTCTCTTCCTGCCAAATGATTGCAAATGTCACTCAAAAGTGATGTTCTTACCACAAATCCTCAGACCTGAACCTTTAAGTGGAGACGACCTGTTGCCTTCGAAATTCGATTGCTCCAGCTGGAGATTTGCTCCGGCTCCGTCTCCTAGACTTGCCTCGACCTCCTAGACCTGCCTCCCTCGCCGCTTTCCCTCCCTCCCTCGCGGCGACCTCCGGATCAGGACACCACTCTGCTGAAAGATGGGACACTTGGAAGCCGATCGGATCGACATCGTAAGGAGTGGTGAGCGAAGGGTCGGACAAAAACGCTGCGCGCCGAGGTTGGAAGGCAACTTGAACGGGTCGCACATGTTGTAAGGGATCACATATGGGGTCCTTGGCAGATTGGATCAATGATTTCATGTAAAGTTCAACATCATCCATTGCTTGAAACTGGTGCGTTCATTCAGTCGACCCAGTTGTGACTAGACCTCTTCAGTCCCATCTGAGTCGATGTTGCATGGTCTTCCCTCTCACATCTGACAGAGGTCGATGTTGCTCCATGTCGACGGATCCTGCAGGTGTTTGGTTTTCAAGCACCCCAGCTTCGACCTTTTTAAAGCACCCAAACAGCACTCGTGTGTGAAGACCGCCGGAGACCAAAAGCAAAGCTCGCAGAGACCGGCGACTTTGGGGCAGAACGCGCGGCGACCACGCTGCCATGACGGATTGGATCAGCCGCGTCGAGGAGTGGAGCCTTGGAGAAATGTGGCACCGGGAGGCACCGGGCACTGGACGAACCCTGGACATCCAGAGAACGCACCGATGGGAGTATGAGTTTTTTTGGGGGTGAGATTGCAAGCATGAAACACAGTTGAATGAGGAATTGGATGGAAGACTTGGATGAGGTTTTGTAGGGTTCTGGCATGTTCTGGCTAACCAAAGACCTTTCAGGATGGGCACAATCGACGGAACATGGGCAGAGGCTGGAGGCTAACAGTTGACCTGATCCAATCGATGGATCTGACAATGGCCTAAACTGGCAGTTCATCAGCAGGAAGTCCTTCCGAAACCAACCTTGCAGACGAACATCTTTAAAACACATGATGCTACTGTTACTACTATATGTTGTCTCACCAGGAGAATCCTGATTGATCAAAAAAGAGCTATGTAGATCTACTATGTAGATCTACTGTAGATCTATAATATGTAGAACATGTTCGAACATCCATGGTCGAAAGAAACGAATCTAGTTGGAACGGGCCTGTTCCATGTGAATTTTTATGATCACATCATATTAAACCAACCAAATCCACTCACCCCCTTTATTTATCTCTATATGTTGCGGTCTTTCTCCCAGGCTTCGACACCTGGCAGAGCGCCTGGCGAGCGAGCTGTCCTGGAGTCGCCTGGTGGCGCTGGGGGCCTGTGGCCTCGCAGGTCCGACCGCTTTCCACCGCGGTGGACCGCGGGGAGCGCCGGAGGTCCAGCGAAGAAGGTCGTTTGGGGTCGGAAGAGTCTGAAGCGAAGGGTGTGAAGCGAAGCATGGAAGGTCCAACTGGGCCGATATTGGGGGACCCTTTTAGGCATCCAAAAGCCCAAGATGGAATGCTTTTAGGCTTCAGACGGCATGACTTCTCCTGATTGTTGGGCATTTCGATCATTTTGTATCCAGGAAGATGCCGGGTGTTTATGAGTTCTTGTTTGTCCCATCGCCATCCAAAAGCATCTAAAGGCGAAACCCTCCATAGCCTCAACCTCTCGTCCGACGTTTGCCTCCATCGTCTGACAGGGCAGATCTTGTGGTCGCACTACGGCATTTTGTGGCATAAGCGGCTGCCATATCACGACCTGGGTCCGCCCATCATAGGACATACGAGGAAGGTCTTTCAGGAGTCCTTGGAGAACTGGGGTCAGCGTATCATGAAAGGCAAGTGCCTGGGATGAACATCGACGAAAAGGGACATCTTGGGGTGTTTTCACGGAAAGGCTTCGGTGAAGATGGTCGCTTCCAATGCTTTTCTGTGAGAGATGTTAGCAAGGAACTCCCTTGCTGTGTTCCGATCAACTTGCTGCATCCAAGAATCTAGAGGAACCGGTCAAACCCCAAGCATATGCACAATTTGTATCAATTTATATATCATAGGGCATTCTAGGGTGCGACCTGCAACCTAAGCATCATCATCCACTGGGCCCTGGTCATGGGATATGCCTAAATTTACAATTTGGCAACAGAGGAAAGGCCTAGGAGCTGTGTCATCCTCTGAATGGCGTTTGCTCGCAAAACAATTGCTGCTGCTGAAGAAGAAGTGGCAGCTGATGGTTCCGTGGCTTCGCTGATGCTTCCCCTCAGGCCGGTGTTGCTCGCGAACTACCTCTTCACCAATACCGTGGTCATCCGCCATGAGATCTACATGAAGCACGTCCACCGGGCCGAGCTCGACGGCGGGGATGTCGGCAGTTGGGCAGTTGGGGGATGTTGTGTTGGGTCATTTCTTGGCAGAAGCAGGCCCTTGAAACTCCTGTTTGGAGAGGCGTTCGGTCGCCTTGCAAGCAGCTGCGGTCTGCATGCGCCCCCGCTCCTAACGGGAGGGTCGAAACAGCCTGATCGACCCGACACGCCGACCACCGATCTCTGCACCGGTGTTTGGAGACTGCTTCGCCTGGTGAGGGGCGAATCCACCGGAAGAAGCGGACCATCCCCCTTGGTTATCCCATACTGAAATCCTGGGGGTTGACCCCACCGATTCAGAAATTATTCCATTTCAAAACAAACTCTTGGGATAGCATGTCAGGTAGAGCGCAGGATTTAACAAAATGGCTCCGACTGGGCATGCTGGATTATGTAAAATGGGGGTGCCAAGGTTGTTCACAGGGTTGGGCGCAGGAATCCAAAAAGAGGTTGGGCGCAGGAATTTACTGAGAACTTGTGGTCAGGGAGGGCACAGGATTTTAATACATAAACTCCTGTAGATCAACTCCGGCCATCGGTACCAAGGGGATTGAACTCCTGTAAAATATCAGTGGCTGCCACGTAGAATCCTTCTTGATACATTTTATGTATTTCCTCGAGCTGCTGCCACAGGTGCTCATCCTTCTTGCCCCCTTGGTTTTCGAGCTGCTGCCACAGACTCGTTGCCAGAGTGGGTCTATGGCAGCATTCACCCATTCAGTGGCAAGGGTCTCATCAAAGCGTTTCATCGCCTGATCTAATTGACGCATCATCACCAGCAGCAACAAGCTGCCGAGCAAAGGCCCTGTGACTGAGAACTCGCTGGCCTTTGATTCGGTGCCGCTGGAGGAATTGATCACGAGCAATTGGGTCATCAGGCAGAAGGTGAACTGGCATCCATTGATTTGTGGAAAGAACATGGCTGTCTTGGAGAGATGCGGTTGCCAGCAAAATGCACCATGTATCCTCCGGGGCGTCAGGCATCAAAGATCGGGCAGACAAATCTGCGCTCTGCACGATCGAGTCCACAAAAGAAGCAATGTCTTGAGCGGTCACACTATCACCATCACAGTGCACTATTCTGACAGTGGCTTTTTTGCATCTTTTTGCACGCAGGCATGCAAGAACAGATCTGCGTGCACCAAATACTCACGGCCGGCTCGCACACGGTCCGGGACAGGATTACACAACTTTAGGCCTCGCTCCTTCGCCTCTACTTGGAATACTACTAGATCTACTGTATTATATAAATTAGATATTACAGTTAGGTTATCATGAAATTCCCCGAATAACAGGATTCCAAAAAGGCCAGCAGCATCAGGAGTTGTGGAATACGATCACAGGCCAATCACAGCCACAGAAATTCTCTAAGATTCCCTGAGTAACAGGATTCCACAAACATATTGTCCGTCGTCCAACCCCTCCTCTTTGCGCTAACCATGCACTGAAGACTCCTGGAAGGACGGCGCAGAACATAGTGGACAATGTGAAAAAGACCAACCGCGTCGAGATCGACAGCTAAAATCTCCTCGCTAACAGGCTTTCTGAATCTTTTCCCCACGCGCAAGATCACACAAGACCTTCTGTCACCTTCTGTCCATGACACGGCGCAAACAGTTGTCATCTCAGCTTATGCATGAAGTGCTCACGGCTCCGGCTCAACTTCAAGCCATTCCGCCCCAAGAGCGAAAAACTGAGCTGCAAAACTCAGTTGTGTACTCGGCAGAGCCTTTGCAGAGCCTTTGTGCCCGATACTTTGCCAGTGATCGGGTCCTTCTTCACAAAAACAATGCCCGCCTTTTCTGGTCGTTTCTGAACAGTCTTGCGGACATGTTGGGTCATTTTTCTGTCCATATCACCACCATACTTCAAACGTTTTTCGGCCCTAGGATTTTACTGAGACTTCCTTTCCCTGTGGTAAGGGGGTGCAGGGTTGGGACACAGGATTTTTCTAGACATTGTCGGCGGGCAGGGGTTTGTTGTTTTTTCCTGTTGTCTGACCCGCACTGGTGGACCTTAGGGCACAGGAATTTTCTAAAAACCACCGCCGGGAAAAAAAAGGTTGGGCACCAGTGAAAAACTAAAAGATCACCTTGGACCCATAGGATTTTAATACATAAAATCCTGTAGATCAACCCCTGCCGTCGGTACCAAGGGGGATGGACCGCTGTCGCTCGAGCCGGGCTCACGGCGAAGCGGCTAACCTCACTAACATGGAAGGGAAGACTTGCCTTTGAGAAGACGAGGTTCCAAGAAAAACAGAGTGGTTTTCGCTTCCATGTGATGTCTTCCTCATAGTGTATTCTTTAGAGTGTTGAAACACCTCATCAGCATCCACACCAGATCAATGAAGTCTGGAGAGACCTTCTGCTGTCTAAAGTAACATGAAATGCGTCAACTGAGGCTTCTTCACCCAGGATTCGTTCACAGTTTTGGAAACTGAGTCATCTTCTTGGAGGGGTTGAGGTCCAAAAACTAGTAGGAGCTGGAGCTGAAAACATCTGGCATCATTGGCAGGTAAGCTGTGCCCTCTCTTCCCCAGCAGCATTCGGGCAATCATCGGTGAGCAGCTGGGCAATGATGGACCATTACAACTTCGGACGGAGTGAGCCGGAAGGTCACCACGGTCAAAGAAATAGAACATTCCTTTTGTCCTGGCCTTCCAAGTGGCGGACAACCGCAACTTGCTAGAAAAAGGAGGACGCTGTTGGTCTCTTGCATGTTCTAGATGTTACATGACTGGCTGTGCATGTTTGACACACCCACAGGGCACACGTGATATTTTTCACCCAAGCAGGGAACTGCAGAGGTGTTGGTTCCGTTTAAACTCAAGAGCCTTGTTTTGTGGCAAAAAGATTGCATATTCATACTTACATATACTATACCAATTAATAACCAGCCTTATGTGATCCAGGGTCGGGACATGGGATGCTTGCGTTCTCATGGGCTGGGAATGTGTCAAGACACCTATCGCTTAAACCACGTCAAGCCAGCAATCCCACCTTTTTTGCGTGAGTTGCTATCATAGGCTTCCTGAGAGATTCACAGGCAGTCCTTCACAAGGATCACTTTGTCACAGCATGTGGTCCTACATCCCTTGTTTTCTGGATGTGTGTTAACCCATATGCGTCACTGGCAACTGGAACCCAACAAGCCCCACTCGTACTGTGAATGGTGACATGACCAGTCGCTGTCCGCGCTGTCTCTGCCAGATTCGTGGCACAGCACTACTGCATTGGAAACCCAAGCCCATCTTGATACCCCGAAACACCCGCCTGACCAACGAAACCGACCATAGTGCTACTAAGTTCACCTCAGCTCAGGAACAGCGTGATTTCCTTACCGGGAGGCAAAGGCCACAGCAACTCGCCCCTGAATTGCTTGGGAGCAGGGTGGCTTGCAGCCGTGCTTTTCCGGACATGAGGAATGGGTGATCTTGATTGCTGGGAGCTCCGTGCTTTTGGCGCTCTTTCCTGTGGGTTGGTCCACGGCAGTTCACACCCAAAGCGGATGGGACACAGACAAGTTTACCTAATCTTTGTGGTTCGTTGTCTCGTGACATACCCACACAACTGTTCCTGTTTGCATTTTTGTTCTTGCACACGAGTGCACTTCTCCAGGCACCCAGTGGGTACGCTTGAAATAGGACCCTACTAAAACCACAAGCTCCTTAGAAGTCAAAAGAGAGGTAACTTGCTCCTTTATCAACGACACCCGCGCCGTCGGCCGAGCAGAACGCAGGCCACGTAGGCCCAGGCGTGAACGGACGGCAGAACTGAGGCAAGCACAAGCGGCTTCGCGGCAAGCTGCTGCGATGCTTAGGGCCGCAGTATGTGCTTTCCTTGGCCAAAGAGATGGAGAGCTACATCCGCGCCACCCTTGAGGTGCCCGGATTTGCCCCAACCATTTGACCTTTTCTTTTTGGACGAAAAGGCGAAGTCTCGCTTTGGCGGTTTTGGGGTTCCGAGTAAGACGAAGAGAGGTATACGAGGAACACCTGAGGAGGTCGGAACGAGAGGCACGGCACGAGTCAGCTGGCGAGTCGGCTGACGAGTGATGATCTGGTCCTAGTCTTGGTATGTCTTGGTGTTTTTGGATGAGACATCGGGTTGGTGGCGGAGATGGGCATCCATTCGGAATTGGTTGAGGCTGAACAAGTGGAGATGGAGTGCGATCTGGGCAGGTTGAGCAGCTGATCCTGTTCAACATGTTTGGTTGCTTGCCAACTTAGATCTAAGCTTAACTCCATGGCTGCACTTGGAGTCAAAGAGGAGGACGCGAACTCTTCTATGAGGTGCAGAATGAGAAGTTATGGATGCTTCCAAGATTCCTCTGAGTCATAGAACTTATGCTGCTAACCAGTGAGCTAGACAGGCACACCCAAAAACCCGAAAAACAAGGACCACATGCCACTCACCTGACGGCGGCGAATTGGCGCCCAATTCTGGGCGCTCGTTCGCCCGGTAGCGCAGCTCCCAGTTCGCTTTTCAGACCAACCCAGTTCGGGTTCAGGACCAACGGGTGTTTCCGTGGCGCGTTTTCGGTGGCGCGGAAACGCGTTTCTCAGGACTTGGCGGAGGAGACCAGCACGAAAGGTTTTGGGACCTTTGAGCCTGCAGCAGGGCACTTGGCACAGAAGATCTCCATCCTGCCGATTTTGGCCGGCTTGGAGGACCGTTTTGGACGCTTCTGTCTTGGCGCGGACGGTGCTGCGCGGGGCTGTGGGGGGTTCTGAGGCTTTTGGAAGAACATGGCCATGAAGCAGTGAATATAGGAATGCCGGAGTGCAAAGGGAACGTCACGTTTCAGAATAATAGCGAAACAATTCTACTTCAGACGGGATGGGAGCAGGAAAGAGAGACTCATTCAGAATGGCCCTTTCTAGGCCTTATACCTACCCAGGAAAAGATGGACAAGTGGACCGGGCCACTGGGTTGACTGAGTTGTTTGGCAGGAGGATCAGCAGAGACGCTTCGAGTCCTTGCTCGAAGTCACCATGGCCGGCATGCTGGCTGCGCCGGTGAATCTTGGGGTTTGGCTAGCCCATGGACGCGCCTTGCGAGCGCGCAAGGAGCGTCGAGTGCGGAAGGAGGTGGAGGTGGGACACTGGAACTTAAGGCGCTTGAGGTTGAGGAGGATCATTGTAGCATAGAACCTGAAAGCAAATCGCAAGTCATGAGGTTTCATGTTCTATCTTGATCGGGCATACACACAGGTTGTGGAGATGATTTGTGCTGCCTCATCAAATGAAGAGAAGGTATGTACGTAGGATCGAGGAGTGAACGGCCTTGTTCTCAACTCCGCAAGCTTGGTAGCAATCACCATATATGTGATACATGTCAATTGCTACAAATAGATAAACGATGGGCAGCGCCTGGATCCAAAGAGGATTGGATACGTGTTTTTTTCCAGGCTCGCCAGTGAACGTCTCTTTTCAGCATCTGTGTGAGGCAGACCTGCACGGTACTTCACCTCAGACCTTCCGGTCCGAAGCTTTTCTGGCCCGAACTTGGCACATCAGGATGCGGGTGGAACAGCGGAACGTCGGGCTTTTTGATGCTCGACATCGGAATCCTGATGTTTGGCTGAGACTTGGAGAGACCATCCAGGCTTCCCTGCAATGTTCCAAGGTTGAAGGTAGCCTGAGTGTCATGGTGCGCCATGGCAGGACTCAATGCACCCTGCTGCAGGTGACTTTTGATCACAGCAAGATGAATGGATATCAGCTCAATCAACTTCTTGCAGAGAAGCAACAAGAGCTTGTGGATTTTGTCAAGCAGCGGAAGGTGCAGTATTGGCAGCCAGATTCCCGCGTATTCTAGGGTTGCATCAGACCATTTTCTGTGTTTATAAAGTAAACCCCTTTGTGAATCCCCTCAAAGAGTGAAACTATAGGCTGCTAGGCTGCAGAGAAAGATCGGATCCTGTGATCTCAGATCAAACATCTGAGGTGTTGCTTTGGCGAAAATCATCGACCCTCTTCCAGTCTAGTCGGAGCTTTGAGATGCTGCACCACGCAAGTCTTGAAGAGATCCTGGGGGTGGAGCTACTTGAAGGTGAGCTGGTCATGCCCACACGGGAGATCTATAGGCACATCTATGACCTCTTTGCAAGGACTTTTACCATTTTCATTGACCTGAGCCACCTCTTTGATGGTCAAGCCTGCATGCTTCGCTTCTCCATGAGTTATGATCGAGATTTTGCTGAGCAGTGGGAAGAGATCAAAGAGTTGAAAAACAACGCCAATGACATCGTGGTGCGTGACTGGAGGAAACATGTGCAGCCAGGCGAATGCTGGGCCACTGTTTTGCCCCAGGCTTGCTCCAGCTTCTTCACCATCTACGGACATGCTCCGAGCTTTGCTCAGCCATCATGGCCTCGGATGACCAAAAGTCATCGAACGGAGCGGGGGTGTCTGACGGGAGTGGGGGTGTCGATCTCAGCTGATCGAAGTCATTGCTTGGTCAGCCTCATCCCATCAGCATCGGCTTCGGCTTCTCCAGAGGACCTTCCATTTCAAGAGCGGCTGCGGAGCTTCAAGGCAGCTTTGGGCCTAGGAGCGTCACCGCTTCATGTGCCTTGTGAGGTTGCTGCAAAAACAGCAGGAACCTGCGGCTTTGAAGTGCGGTCGGGGACTGTTTGCGGCGAACATATCCTGAAGGAAGCTTACCACCTTCCACCTGTATAATATCAATCTAACAAGATGCGAGCAGATCTTGGCAATGCTAAGGGCATTGGGCACCGATTTTTTTTTTGACAAGTGCAACAAACGCTGGCTTGTCATTTTGATCAATTTTCAGTTCTCAGCGCAAAACTCTTTAGATGGGTGGGGATCAAGAGCAATCCAGCAAGCTCCCACCGTGTTAGGTGAGCATCCCCCAGTAGACCAGTCAGTTCTTGGTGTCTTTCCATCGATCCCCAGCCTGATCCATCGTCCAAATTCTTTAAAGCCTGCCTCGATACGTGGCATTGGACGTCGGATGTCTCATGACGAAACCCGCGCTGTGACGATCCATCGTCCAAAAGGTCCCACCGGGCCGGGCAGACTCTGCGGTCGAACCCCCCGAGGGCTTCGCCTCGCCTCTCGCCTCGCCTCGTCCGATCAGGGGATATTTGGGGGGGGGGAAGGATCTGTTCCGCAGGAGATTAGCACCATGATCGCCCAGTTGATGGCCTCCCCCAAGCTGGACGGTCAAAACATCGTGGCTGAGTTGATGAAAGATTCCGACGACGGCGAGGCCTGGGGGGTGGGCCGGAGTGGTGCTTGCCTCGTCCAACAGCGCGGAGGATTGGCAGGGGGTTCAGTGGAGCTGCGCGATCTCAACTCGCCCGACCTAGCTGGTGAATTCGTTTGTTTCCCGAATGGAGCGAGTCAGGCCTTTTCCAAAGAAGAGATCTCCGACACCGTGGTGACGCTGCTCTTCGCGGGCAAGATCACCACCGCGGAGCGAGCGTGCAGCTGTATGCATGGATATCCAAGGTTTTGCCATCGGATCGTCCTGGGTATGAACACTCATATATATATATATATACCAAACCCAACAGTTCAGTATGGTGCTGTATGGGTTAAGCGGTTATATAAGCCAAACGGTTTTTGATCTGTCGATGCCTGTGAAGCTCTTAGTCTTAGACACCATCCAAGGCATCAACGGTTAGAGTGAACCATTATGCAGGGTACGAGCCAAACTGAAAAACCACGCAGGCTGAATGGGAGAGATTCTTTTCAATCTTCAACGTTCCAAAAAATTCCAGAAACCAAGGATGGCGACGAACAAAATCCTCCAGAAACCAACATGAAAACGGATTGTCCGAAGAGGTTCACAGGGCACTGTCCTCGATGCTGGCTCTTGTAGAGCCGAGTAGAGGACGCCTTGCCGTTTCTCCTGGTGCAGCTGGCCGAGCACAGGTGGCTGCCGGAGCGGCGCACTGCTGGTGGGACGTCATGAGGGTTTTGTTGAGAAAACAGCAGGCCCCCTTTGAGGGGTCCTGAAGCGGGGTCCTTGATCAAGAATGTGGCAACCAGAGGCGAGACGATCGACTCCCCGATAGCAGCAGAAGTTGCAGGCCGAAAGAAAGCCGTCGAAAGCAGACGATGATGAGACCTGAGTTGCTCCGACGGAGCCGGACTCACTAGTTTAGTGGACTTGTTCTGGTTGAGTCCAAGAATTGCTTGCTTTTGGGTGAACATTCTACCCCTACCTGCCCAGTAACAGTGAAAAACGATGGATTTGCTCACTGGGGAGTTGGTGGGCGGGTGAACATCATCTTTTGAAGACAGACCACAGCGCTTGCACATCCGACCGACCACCAGGGAATGCATCCCACAACTGGCCAGCGAGCCCTTGGAAGTCTCCAATATTGTCGCTCGAAAGCTCGTTTGGCGTCGTTGGACCCCGCAACAAGGGACACACAGTACCAATAGTACATAGTGATCCCAAAGAGATAGAAGCGGTTTCCAATCCATTTTTAGTGGGGATCTACTTTTCCATCTATTTGGGGTGTGTATAGAGGTTGGAGAGATGGAGGACCCGCAGGTGTGGGTAGAACATGCGGACCTTTTCGAAGGTAAGGGTGGAAAGAAAGAATCAAGTTTGATTGGGTTTTGTCCTTGCTTGGTTTGGTTTGTTCATAACCTCACCTGCAGTCGTATTAAACGATATTAAACGTCACAGAACGGCAGCTGTCACCTGCACCCTGAAGTCTCATATACAGAAGGAACGTCAGAATCTGAAGGAGGTCAAGAAACACAGGATCCTGCAAAGCTTCTAACCTGGACCCCCGTACCCTGTAGCCAGACCGGAAAAAAAGGCAGCTAGGAACAGACGTTGTTTTTCGTCCGGTCCTGTCTGGTCGATCCCATCGCAAGTTGCGGAGGTCGGTCGGTGGACCTCGCCTCGGCTCGGCTCCACCTGAGGAGGGCGACTCGGTGGCGCTGCGCGTGGTGCGCGAGGCGCTGCGGCTGAAGCCGCCGGCGGGGGCCTTTCGAAGGGTGAATTGGCACTCGGAGATGGACCTTGGAGAGTGACCTGGAAGTGATGAGTGACTCGGGATGACCTGGGTGTGGATTGGAGTGGGGTACGGTATGATGTGTTGAGAGACTCCTGCGTTCTTTTGATGGATGATTTTACTGCTGGGTCCACCTCCAAGTGGGCGGTTATAGAATCATTGTCCAATCTCTATTCTTGGGATGATTAAAAACTAAGAATCGTGGTTTTGCAATCTCATGTGACCGCATGATTTTTGATCTAGTGGGTTGAAGCCAACAAGAAGAGATGCTGCCCAGAAAGATGTGGAACAGCCGCCCCATCCGAACACCTTCGACCGACTTCGTTTTTGCGCAGTCAGATCATTCCAGATCCACCTCTATCCAGCTTTCGCTGAGGTATGGCGTGGTGCCCAAGGGTTGTCCCATGGCCATCTACCTCTCTCTGCCGATGATAGAGATGGGGCCATGGGCGCCCGATCGCTGGCGCACAGAGGACGTGCGGAGTAAGTTTCTGGCCTTCGGCGGAGCACAGCCGCACGAGTGTCGCGTGGCGAGTGAGTGGTGGGTTCAGTGGTGGGGTGGAGAGAGGGGGGGAGCGAAGAAGGAAGGTTGGTTCTTGAAAGGTGAGGATTGGAGTCACTTTCTGTCTACGGTCGTCTCCAACAGGTCCTCAAAGGGTACCGGGTAGCTGTCCGGGTCACACCTCTGGTTCGGAACACCATCGATGCTGCCAGCTGAGAGTCTCTCAACCGCAAGGAAGGCATCCAGAGAATTGCACTGGCTGGCGGCTGTGCTGTATTTCTTTGATTGATTGATCTGGAGCTCAATCACCTCCACTTGAACTTTTCTCTCCGCACTTGTTCTGTAAAAGCTTGGGCGGTGGCGCTGTGAACGCCCAAAACGAAACTCTCTCCGATTGGCTGCGATGTTGAGGTATTGGAAAGCACCTGGCCTTGCTGGAGCTCCAACTCTTCGTGAAGATCTTGTGCAACTGGCAAGCACGCTTTTCGTGTGCTTTTGAGTGACTCCCTCTTGTCATGGGATATATACCATTTTTTCCCGGCTTGACCCTTTTTGGAGCCGCAAAGGCATCGAAGCCAAGGCAAAGATTACGACTTCAAAGTCTTAGACACCGGAACCGTCGTCAAGCCCTTTTCCTTGATCCTCGGCAGTACCTGCCGCAAGAGCTCTCACGGCCACCGGGGGGGATACCTCGAGTTTGCCAACTTGTTTGGTTGTCGAGGATTTCATGGTCATCCGAACTCGGGTGCCATCCATGATCATTTCCACGATCATTCCAGGCTCAAACTCTTGATCAATACAAGCCCCGCCGGGCCTGCACAGGTTTTGCAATCCATGTCCGGGATTGTTTTGGGGGTGTTATTCATCAAAACATATATCAAAACTAAGAGTCTACATGAGGAGTCATGAGTCATGAGGTGTTTTATGACATGGAACGCCAGAAGACACGTATACTGTAGACTGTAGACCCGCAGAGGTGTTCAATTTTCTTTCAAAGGAGGATGCACTTTCTTTCTGAAGAAACTTAGACTATGTGGCAATACCGTTAGCTGCTTCAGATGCGACCAGAAACATGAAATGCAATATATCGCGGTGCAATCCAAGACAACACCACAGCATACACATGCTCATATGAAACATTATGAAACATATCTTCCCAAGGAGTTGTTGCTTTTCGTATCTTTTTGTCGTGTCAGAATCCGGCCGTACCTACTTGTAGTTGAGTTTGCTGACTTGACCATAATCGTGTGGGCTGTAGGGTCAAACAACCTGGGCAGACATGGGATGAAACAGACGGTCCATGTTTGTTTTTCCGGCCATCCTCTTGAACAGCTGTGCTTTTTTCTTGATTTGAGGAGCTACAAGGATGGCTTGCGGGTTGAGATCACTCGAAAGTGAGAGGGTTTTCAGGCGCAGGAAAAGGCAGAGCACCGGAGCACCGCCACTGCGCGAGTGGAGGCCGCACTCGCGTGTTGTTGGGCTCTGGGCTCTTAGTTTTTGGCCTTCTCCGATCGGTTTACAGTTCTAGGGATCTTCCAGTTGCAGCCCTCGTGGGCGCACTCCTTCGCGCCCAGCGTTTGGCTTTGCAGCGGCCGACGTCTGAGAAGGCGTCGGTCCGGGTCGGGTCCGGGGGTTGAGAAATGTTGAGAATACCTAACATGCAAGTGACAATTGTTGTCCAGTCCGCCCCTGGTAGCTGATTGATCAATATAGGATCCCCTCAAATGGATCAAACCAAGCAAGGGACATCGGTGTTTGATGCAATCAACAGACTTGAGCCAGGGAAGCTCCTTAGCCGCGATCGCCGAACCAGTCGTGATGCTGGAAATGGTGAACTCATCAAAGATGCAAAAGAGAGTCTCCTTCGCCGTGAGATCATGAAGAAGTTTCTTTTTTTCCACAGGATGGACAACTGTGGGGAAGAAGAGATTCAACAACTGGAATGTACTTGACCGGGACAAGGCAGCGCCACACAGGTCTCGGATGTTTGCTGAGATTAGCAGGTTCATTCTTCATATCGTCAGAAACAGCCAAAGCGTCCATGATCCAGCATGTCCAACCTGACAATGTCACTGGTAACCACGTTGCGAAGGTGAATAGAGAATGCTCATCAATGCTCATCTTCGTGTTTTGTTGTCAGCTTGGATTCTTCGTCCGACGGTGGACCAAACCCACGCTCTCCGACCCGGACCGGAACAGGACCGGAACGAAGCATCCCTTGGACCAAAACCGAATGCCGGGGGTTTTCCCAGCGACCAATCGAACCTGTGACGGAGACCGACGCCTCGGAGACAGCGCGAACCGCGCGAACCGTGCGGAACCCGACATGTGGTAACCCGGCAGGTGGCGGGAGGATTGGGCAGGCTTGCTTTGGGAAGCCAGGATTGAATCATTGGATTGGCCAGGTGTGATGCCAGGTGTTCCAGAGTGTAGAACTGATCAGACACAAGACGGCTCAACCGCACTGATCTGTGACTTAACTTGAGGGCCAGGCGTGTCTTTTGCGGCGTTTTCTGCGCCGTTCCAACCCCTTGGGGAACCGTGAGCCGTCCAGCAGACGACTCAGGAATGCCGACTTGGAGCTACCCCACCTGGAGTTCGAGATTCGCCGCTGGGCCGAGTCGTCCTTCGACGTCGAGACGTCGGCGGGCCACCGAATCAAGGCACCGGCCAGTTGGGCAAGTGGTTCTTCTGATCCGACACCTGAAGTGTCAAAACTACAAGATGTGTACCCAGACAGTACCCAGAACATACCCAGAACTTGTAGTCTACGTCTTTGCAAAGATGGTGCCCGCAGATTCTGTGAAAGATGTGTACCTCCAAAGTTCTTACTGTACACAGACAGTGAGAATCTTTGCATGATCGTGCCCCATCGGCGGCCATACAGCGATCTTCCTCTCCAGCCTGGAAGAGGATCATCAAAGCCACTTCTTCCACCAGACATGTAGTAGGGAATCAGAGGAAAAGGAATGAAACTGAGCCTCCAGAGCTTTTCCCAACTCGACTCGCCGCCATTCCTGACAGCCACCTCCACTCGCCACGTCGACTCGCCAAGTCGCCGAGAACCGCACCGTTCGCTGCGACCGAGCTGCTGTGTCCGTCCGACCCCGTGGAGTTCGATGGGTCTGCAGCCACGGCTGCAGTCGGTCGGACGCCAGTCACAACCGAGCCGACTGAAAAGGCAAGGGGCCACAATAGGTGTGGAGCCTTTGTTGGGGGGAAGGTGGCAGCTTTTGTGTGAGGTCCCATTGCCAAGCGACAAATCGATACGCTCTACAACCATTTGGTCCAGGCGGTGGATGAGCCACTGGGTTCCAATTGAACTTCTTTCTGCACCGGCGAAAACGAAGGAACGCGACCTGGACACGCCAGAACGACATGAAGCGGGGAGAAGGTGCAAGTGATTGAAACGGGGCACTCACTCACTCTGGTGGTAGGTCCTGGTAGGTCTGGCAAGTGATCGAAGTATCAGGGCAGGTGATTCTTCGATCGTGGAAAGGATCGAAGGTCTCATGTTTAACCAGTGACATGTCGTGAGAGAACGAAGTGGGGAGCACCAGGAATCAAAACAGATCTTTTTTGTTCTCACGTGAGAAACACATCATTCTTCATTCCTGTTCTTTTTGAGCATCATCATCCATCTCCACCACGTCAAATCAGGACCTCAACAGATTGGACTCAATTTTCGATAGAAGAAAGGGGGGGGGGGAAGTTGGGGAGGTCCAGGGCCGGGCGATCTTCTCCGTAGTTGTATCGGTCCCCGGGACGGGTTCCAATACCAATACATGTTGAGTCGGGATCTTCTATTCAGTTGGGGGTCTATATATAGTCGGGATCTACTTTGAGGGAGTTCTTTGGCATTTCCTTCCCAACTCAATAGAGAAGAGAGGTTTTGTGGAGACGCGCCCAGCACTGAGGATTGAGATGCATGCGCAGGCTCTGGTGGAGGATCAGTATACCAAGGAGCAGAGAACGTAGCGAGGGCCATGTGGTGGTTTATTTGGATCGCCTTTTTTGGTGGATATGGCAACACTTGACCACGGAGTGTGAAGACTTGGCAGGATATGGCAACACTACGAGTGAAGCCAGAGCCGTGTAGCTCTGAGACCTCAGGAACAGATTATTGCTGTAGTTCTACGGTTCAAGCAGATCAATGACGCTAGCGGCTTAGGTCACAGCGAGCATGTCAAACAAACATGCACTCCCAAGTCAACTCACAGCTCGACCCGGGTCCGTCCGTCCTGGCCCTCTGGGTCCGATGGTCTTCCACTACTCCCCGACGTGGTTTTCAAAGTCCATAGGATCGTCTTCCAGGTCTATCCATGGACGCTACGAACGGGGCTCCTGGCATCGCTACTAGGAGATCTAGGAGCAAGAAGCTACTAGGGGCTGTTTATCGTCCGTTTTTCACCCGGTCGGTCGATGGGCGATCGCTCGGACCGACCCTTTTCGAGCGAGGTTTCACCCTCGGTTTCCCGACCGGTGGATCGTGCGGTTTTGGTTTCAAGCATATTCAAATCATATCAGTGAATGACCATGAACATTTTAGAGTCTTGGAGGTGACTCTGAACTTTTCTGTTCATTTGTCTGTGGGGATAAGGCAAGGGTGATTGATACGTGTTCTGACTCTTACAACTCTGATATACTCTGATTGCAAAACGAGGAGCAAAGATGATCCAGTCAAAGCCTCTTGCTTTAAACAAGGACTGACTTTTCATCCATCTCTTAAACATTTCTGGTGTAATGCTTCTAAGTACTTTTCAAGGATTCACACAGCCTCCGGAAATGAACTGAAACTGTTTTCCAGAAACATCATCACCCACTGGCACGTGCCGGAAATGCCTTGACAAAGAACTCCACCAAGGGCCCGCACAACTAGCTAACGAGCTCACCGGATGCCCACACAATCCTAGCAAAACAAGTCAAGAAACAGAACCTGAACGCCTTTAAAAAACAACGCCATACCAAGCCCCCCCCAAGCCAAGGCTCCCAACACAGCTTTTTCAAGTCCGTCTTCTTCGAAAAACGTGCGACCCAAAACCAAGCGCTCCGTCTCCGTCACGTCTTGGGTGCCTCGACGAGATGTCCAGGAGACGATCATGAAGACCGTCGACAACTTGCGTGAGTTGCTGGACGTGGGGGGCTCCCTACAGCGACGACCTACGTCGAGTCGAGTTGCTTTTCTTTTTTTTTTTGACGGGGGGTGTGACTCCGATAGGACAGTTTCGGGACGTTTCGCTCCCAGTAAAAGTTCCTTGTCAAGGATCCGGCCACCCTCAATTTCCCTTTCGTCGCATCGCGCGTCAACTTGCTCAGTCAGTCGACTCATGAGTCGACCCTCAATGAGTCGAACATCGCGGAACATCGCGGCTAAGCCGCTCGACCTTCCTGTCCAAGCTCCAAAAGGCGATTTGCTCAGCCTCCTCCAGCCCTTTCTAATATTTTCTAATCACTCGATCTAGTAGTCCTGGTCTTGTAACCGTCCAATTTCATGGAACTTCATGGAATTGGTGGGTCACGCCCATCAGATTCAATTGACGAAGAGAAGATCTCATCCAGGCATCGAAGGCGACGCAGAAGACTTCCGTGAAGCCCAGTCAGGGCGAAACCCCGAAGCCTGTCAGGTGCCGAAGCCCTTCGAGCTGATCATCCATGATCCCAATGGCGCGTCCGAGTTCCACCCTATGGACTGGCATGGGCAGGGCGCAAGCTTGGCAGGGCGCGAGGTGGTGGTTCACCCGCGGGTGGTTTGGGGCGGGGAGATTGTTTCAATGGATCATGCCCCCAAAAGATGCTGGAGAAACCTGGGAAGAGTTGGGGGTTTGAGAGCCTTTTGGAGCTCTTGTGAGCAAGTGTAAGCATTTGTAAGCTGGTCTCGTGAATTCCAGCACCCAAGATCCTGGTCTCAAGTGCAGCTCTGAGCTGCAAGGCCTGGGTCCTAAGAACACATGAAGACATGTCTTATAGGAAAGGCATGAGCAAAAATTCTTGAAGTATTTTGACTTTTTTTCTGTACATTTACCATGTTACGTCATGTTGGGCCATCCGCTTCTCTTTTTTATCCATGTGGTGTTCGGTATGTAAACAACAACCTGCGTGGGCTGCGGCAGGATGGAGTGACTGTCGAATACCTCGACTGAAAGATGTCTGAGCAGCCAACGGAGCGGACGGAGCTGTGTGAGAGCCAGACCGAACGGATTCGATTTTGTTTGACATTTTTTTTGTGTGAGAGGGATCTGGGAGTGTGTTATTAAGAGAACAAACCCCTAAATCATTTTTGCAAAAACTGGTGGATCAATACAAGCAAAAACATCATTACAGCCTGGCCAGCTCGATTACTGGTCATCTTGCTCTCAAGGCACGCTCTCTTTGCCAAAGTCATGAAACACATCTCCTTTGCTCTACAAGAAAGCAGGTTGTTATTGCTAGCGCTGTATAGGAATTTCTCATTTCTCTTATATAAATACATTGCACAGCATGTTCAACTCAGACAGGGATCTTTCTGGAACTTGCCAATGGGGGCAGCAATGCCAAGACATAGTGTCCAACTGTGGCCAATAGGCCAATAGAGTCTACGGCTGGCATTTGCTGCCTATTTGACAGGTTGGTTCAACCATTGGCCCCCCCTCAACTCTTATGACCATTGTA